TATTAATATTTTTCGCAATTGTTTAGATTTTAATTGTTTTCTCGAGACTGGTAATACCGATTCTACTCATATTTTAAACAGTTGAGAATGAGTTGAGTGTTTTCTTAACATTTTTAATTTTTATTTGTCCATACATTTTTTTTATAGAAGTTATTAAATTTTTTTTAAATATTACTGACATCTCAATGGCTTTAAATCGCGTTTTGAGCTAATATTGTACGTTCTATTAGCAATTATTTTCAGAAAAAAAATTTGCCGCAATGCATCGAGACGAAAGTTATTCACGCTTTTCTCTTGTCGCCCAATGTATTTTGTATGGAAAACGTTTGCTGTAGATATTTACCTCGCATGAGTTTTTCAACAAGTATCGATTGACAGCGAGTCTAGCGCGCTTGCGATACTCATTTCATCGTTTTCCATACAAAATACATTGGGCGTCAAGAGAAAAGCGTGAATAACTTTCGTCTCGATGCATTGCGGCAAAATTTTTTTTGCAAAATATTACTAATATTAGAACGTAAAACAATATTAGCTCAAAACGCGATTTTAAGTCATTGAGATGTCATTAATATTTAAAAAAAAATTTAATAACTTTTATAAAAAAAATGTATGGCCAAATAAAAAATAAAAATGGGAAGAAGGCCCCATTATTCTCAACTGTTTAAAATATGAGCAAAATCGGTTACCAATCGCGAGGAAACAATTAAAATCTAAACAATTTCGAAAAATGTTAAAAGTATAACTTCCAAAATAATTCGAATTTCGAAAAATTGTGCAACTTGTATTTTTCTTTTATCGTTGTGAAGCATAAACAGATAATTGCACAAAAAACACTCGACCTTCGAAAAAATGGTGGCCCACTTCACAAATTTTTATTCACATGTATGTACTAGGAATGTTAATCCCAGGATGCCGGGATCCCGGCCTTTTTAAGGTCTTGGCAAGTAATTCCGGGATTTTGGGGATTTGTAATTTGCACTGATGGCAATAATAGAAACTCCTTTTCTTGGCCAGTATTGGCTATATTTCTTTTTTATTTAATAATTATTTTTTTATAAATGTCTAGCTCATTAGACATATAACACCGCGCGATAGTAAATTTTAAACACAAATATCAATATATTCGCGAAACCATGGGCCAAATATAGTAAAATTGCGTTTTTAGTTTGTCACTCTGACGTCAGTAATTAAAAAATGATTTTAAAAATTCAGAGAAATGTTTTTAGAAAAGTAGTATGGGTATAAAATTAATGCGGAAATCCTGTAGAATTTAAACAGATTCAAGTTTCTGGTGCAGAAGGGCCGGTAAATATTGAAAATGTCATTTAAAAATTATCCTTTTTTATCCTTGAAATTTCGCTATATTTGAATGATCGCCGCGAGTAACGTTGTAAGCGCCAATTTACTCAAAACTAGTTTTTTCGCAGATTACCGTTATTCTGACAATTTTTTTTTTAATTTCACTTTTATTTCAACATATTTTGATTAAAAGAAAAATACTGATAAAAATAAAATATTTCACACAAACAATAAAAAAGATAGTCGATAATCGCATGAGGCTATTGCCTGAAAATTTTAAAATGCGGCCGAGTAATCATAGTCAACTTATGTACAGTAGTCGAACAAATTATAGCCGCACCAAATTTTCACAAGTTTTAAAATATTATTTTTGCTGTTATTTAATTTTGGTTCGTTTTTTATAGTTCATTCTTTAAAAACATCCGTATAAATACAAGTTTAAAGGCAGTGTCACACATTTGGTGCAAATCGTATCCCAATTGTGTGAACACCCAAAATATTTTTCTTTATCCCAATCACGAAAAATAAATTGTTGAAGTTTTTCAATAGAACATCGCTGTACCGTACCAATCTTTTGATTACAAAAATCAAAATTGTCCCCTTAGAACACCTACAATCAGCAAAGATGCTAGGCTTACTGGAAAAACGTGTTATCATCCATTGGGATTTGAATATAAAACGTTTTTCCTTCAGTAAAATTTTGTAAATCTTTTTTTGACTTGAAAGATATATATGGATATACATTTTAATTCACGGGCAAGTTTCTTGGAGACTGCTGCACCGAAAAATGGAAAACTAAATCAAATAACTTTATGCGCGTCGTCAATAGCGTTTTTTTCCATTCCTGAAAACTTATAATTATGTCGCTTACAACGTTATTCGCGGCGACCATTAATTTGTTTTTGAAAAAATTCTATGTTAAGGGCTTATATAAACCCAATAACATCCTCGAGTTTCTTTTTTTTTTGTCAACTTAAAAATTACCTATTCGCCCTTGTGAATCCAAAAAATTTAATTTTTTTTAATTCTAAGAAATTGCCTATTGCATTTGTTACCCATATTTTTATTATACATTGCACTGAATTTTTTTAACAATTCTTGGAATTAATCATACCTTTGAAATTACAAAGTCCATCAAAATAAATCCTGCGGTCAAAGGAAAAAAATAAAACCCATTTATTATTATTTATTTCATGGTAGAAGAGCTTCTCAAACAATATATAAGCAATTTTTATACCCGAGCGCACTTGTGCACAAGGGTATATTAATTTTGTTCACATAACGGTTGTTTGTAACAGCCAAAACGAATCGAGATAGATATAGACAAATGTATACATAAATGATCAGGATGAAAAAAGATTAAGCCATGTCTGTCTGTCCGTCTGTCCGTATGTCCATCCGTCCGTGTACACGATAACTCGAGAAAAAATTGAGATATCTCAACGAAATTTGGTATGTAGGTTTCCCTTAATCCAAGGTAGGTTGGTATTGAAAATGGGCGAAATCGGACTGTAACCACGCCCACTTCCCATATAACGGTAATTTCCAGAAATACGAAAACTGCGATATTTTAGTAACTACTGAAGATAATTCACTCAAAATTGATATTTACAATAATTTTCAGACGAAAAATAAGAATATTATAAATTTTTGGAAAATGGGCGTAGCCACGCCCACTTACTGTTACATGTGTATATCTTGGTAACCGCTGCACCAATTTCTTCCAACCTTGGCACAGTTGTTAGTCTTTATACAGCATACCAAGTGGCCGAAAATTTTTAAAATTGGACAATAACCACGCCTACCTCCCATATAACGGTAATTTGGAGAAATACGAAATCTTCGATAAATCAATAAATATTAAAGCTAATTTATTCAAAATTGATCCTTGCAACAATTCCTTACCAAGAAATACGTTTATGGTAAAATTTTGGAAAATGGGCGTGGCACCGCCCACTTATGATCACATATATGTATATCGGTATCTACTAATTTGTACCAAACTCGGTGTGGTTATTGTGCTTG